GCAACCTGAAATTGTTAGCAAAGGGCTTGAACTACAATGCCGCAGCCCTCAGTTCCGGAGGAAGTAGCCTTCAGACAGCAAAATAATGCCTGCAACCCGCAAACAGCCGTTCGCATCCATTTTGAAATACTGTTGTACGTAAACAGGACTGATCTCATCCGCACGCTATCCTTATCTCTTCAGTTTCCCTACAGCTTCCCATTTGCCAGTACCCTCGATAAGCCACTAGGTTCCACATCAGCTTTTCGAGGATAAGCCCTCCGCCGTGCAGACTGACATTTAATAGGTTACACACACATAATGAGCTAACTGCTATGTAGGCATTTATTTATTCGTTCTTTTGACTGTCATTCAGTCTTGCTTACGTGAATACTACTGCCGATAATGATCAAAGGAGACGTCTGCCGCATACTGTTACCGTCGGCTGATCAAGATGTGGAATCTTCCCCGTTCATCTCCTGTGAAATTCTGTCAGATCTACGTGCTACTGTATCCTTCCTGTTTTTTGTTTATTCACACTGACTGACCTTGAAACGGCGTCGCGCTTGTATTGTTCAAGTGTTCTCCTGCTCACCTGTAACGTTATCTAACACGCGTTGCTTCTTTGTCTAGAGTCAGGCGTTATATTTGGCCGACTCCTTTGTTATGGACTACCCGTATCCACTACTGGGGTTTGGATCTTGTTTATTCTTCACTATTTATGTAATAGTACCGTACTATACCAATTATTGTTATCATTGGGAATTTATGCACGCGCCCCGACAGGATACTGAATCAAAGGAAACTCTCAAACATCTACGTTGATCCGAGGTGGCTTACTTGTTCTGGAAATCCTGCAGATCCTCTCCGATCGTCTCCATGTTGACATCTCGCCAAATAATATCGTAGTAGCCAGCCACCGTCCTATTAACTTCATTGTACAGACCATACAGTCGCTGGAGGAGATCCAGTTCTCTGCCAATCTGTACAACTCGAGAATAATCGGAGACGGGTAGACCAAAGAGCTCCTCGCCCTTGGAGGCTGTAAGCAGTTTTCGAGAGAGATTGTCATGCCGGTTCTTGAATTGGATCTGTCTGTCCAGCGCAACCTGGGGCTGCAAGCCCGGCACCATAGGACCTTTCTGTGAAGATGGAATAGAAGATCACAACTGCTGGTGAGTAGTGCCCAAGAGGTTGAACTATAATGGAAAGCGGATTGGGTAGCATTGCCGGCAAAGACACGGGAGACAGGAATGGCCGTTTCTGGCACATGAGCCATCATCAGCCAGTCATGCCTCAGCAGAGGCTCGAACCCACGACTTTCTGATCAGCAGTCTAACGCTCTAACCATTGAGCCACGGGCTCGTTGTCTTGCCGGTTTAGATCAGGAGATATTGACACGTCGATTAACGTTCACCTAATGCTAACGGAGCGCACCCATCCTGCCGTGGAGCTGTTGGCGGGGCTCGAAAATGAAGCCCAAAGCACAGTGGGACGAGTGAGTTCCGT